AAAAGCATGGGAACAGAAGCAAAAACCAAGACCAACAAAAAAAAAAAAAAAAAAAAAAAAAAAAAAAAAAAAAAAAAGGGAGGGGGGGTGGATAAAAAGGAAAAAAAAAAAAAGAGAACAAACCCTGAACTTCCTACTTACTATTAAATAAATTGCATTTGCATTTGTGAAAGTACCATCAGGCTAATGTCTTTTTGTATTTCTACACATAACCAATTTGAAAACCAGAATACACACTGAAAAAGCAGAAAGAGATGATGTAAACCAACAGGCTTTGTAGCATTGCTATGACTGACCTTCATTTTTCATCCTGTCAAAATAAGACAGTTTAGAGGCTGCATAGATGCTTTTGGAGGACTGCAGGGCACCAACCACAGCATCCATCAGAAGAACATTTGTCAGGGCTTGCTGGATATACTGAGGATCCTAAAGACAGAAGTCCTACTGTAGTTTATCTATTGCTCATTATTCTTACAAGACACCATGCTCAAAATCACAATTGTCATGCTTAGCACAAGCACCAGGCAGTTGCTGCCCTGCAGCACAATTCCTGTTCCCTGCTGTCAGACCCCACTCCCACATCCCATGTTCCAAGCCAGGTCTTGGAGCAGGGAGTCAGAAGCCAGTGTTGTTACAGGAATATTTGAGATCTGACAAAACCTTGATACAGGATATGCAAACAAAACCATACGAAAAGATATAGCAGACATAGGATGGATACCCATTTCCAAGATGGATCTTTCTTCATGGGAGAGAAGCACCATGAAATTCTAAGATTAGTGCATAAATTGTTTAAAACAGAAAGCACATTCTTCACATTATTTGGTTACAAATTCCTATATTTATATACCTTGTGATCATATGCCATTTTCTTTCCAGCCCACATTTCTTTCACTATCAGGTACCAGAGATCACATTCAGTTTTAAGGTTGGCTTCAAAGACTTCTTTTTTATGTAATGTTTTAATCCTCAGAGTAGGTATTCTCAAAAGAAGGAAGGCTACAGTAGTGCTCTTAACATCCTGGAAAGTTACAGGAAAGAGAAAACAAGGAGAATGTACCCAAATAACAGATAAGATTCAGCATTCAGCCCACAGGGCAGCTTTCTCTAATTACAGCTAATTATTTCAGTTGTCCATACATACCATTCAGCAGAGCTGGATTTATGAAAATAAGTTTAAACATCATCATACAGCCTTGGCTCCACAGTGGATATAAGCTGACCCACTGATACCTCAGTCACATGAGCACATTTAATGCTCATGTTATTAAACTTATTTATTTCATATCCTATGTGCTGCACTCTGCACATTTCTCTGAAGTTATAACCTCTTGATTTTCAGTCATGAATTTTTTGTTCCAAATCCCCAGAATTTTACTTAATCACTCACACAGTGACTTGAGCACTGTTTCCTACTCCCCTTACTGAAACTTTGAGAGCCAGTTCATTCTGAAGAATGGGACACAACCTATATCCACAGGCATGCCAGAGGACAGGAAGTTGGTGCTCACCTCTATATCCCTGAAAGCAGCAATTGGGACATAGCCAGGACGGCCTCCTTCAGTCAACAGGAACAAGCGCTTCTGGGTCAGAGCTATTTTCCCTACACCATAGCTGGTTTTAACTGAGCACGATAACTTGTAGACACATTCATTTTTATCTAGATGCTCGATTACTGCTGGTGGCAGATTCACCTCTTGAGCTTCTGCTTCAGTTTCTTTCCAGTAGTTGTAGAAATCTCTGAATGTTTCAGGATCAATTTGTTTCTGCTGTCCTAAAAAATTTTTCAAACCCCTTTAGTGTGGGAAACTATTACACAGATTTGGAAAGACAGTAACTGTTAAATTGTGCCTCTTTATTGTGCATATAAGTATAGACATTCTAGGCACATGTC